AAATTCCAAAAAATTTGCAATTTTTATGCAACTTTAAGAGGAGGCAAGGAATAGTAGTAGAAATCTCTGATTCCCAAAGAAACACACACACACACACACACACACACACACACACCGGGCTTCTGCTTCCCTACATGGGCCATTTTAAAACTCAAATGCAAAAAGCAGTCAATGAGCAAGTTTAACTTTGCACGTGTCTAATTCAACTAACATGCATAAAACAATCAATGGCTTTCCACCCCTCTGGGGAAAACGGATAGCTATAGTTTATGGGAGTTTGAAAATAAATCCAAGTCATATTTCATTGCGTAAGTGGTTCAATCTCTGGGCTCAAATTACATTGTCCAAAACATTCAGCCACTGCTATTGAAGGCAACAGTCACATGTCTTATTCTCCCTCATCTGTAATTTTTACTGCAATTCATATTGTGTTTTGATTAGACAGCTCACCAAACTTTCCCCAACTTGCTACGTAAACCCCAGTGGCTTGGAGTGCTCAACGTTTTTCAAACAATATCACAAGGTGAGCATTACAACCCTCAAGTTCTTCTCTGACATGGATTTTAAACAGGGCCAGAGAAAACTTCACCCTTCCTCCCACAACATGTTGCACTACTTGTTCCGAGCAAATAACTTGATTGCTCTTGGCACATTTTTTGCAGGCTACTAAATTAAAGGGGGCATAGTAACAAGGCTGCTGTTGTGCCCCTGCATCTTCCATCCTTGAAACTCTTTTTACTAGATAAGCCAGCTTCCCATATTAGGCTTTGCCATCTTGACTCTGAACATATCTCATACATTGGCAGACCTGTGTGTGTTCATATGTATGTGTGTTTGTGTGCTCAAAAAAAACCAACCTGCAACTTGGATACATCATACATTATACAGATGTGCCTGAACCTCTTAACCTACATAACACATTATGAGAAGAAGCAAGGAGATCCTTCTGGTCCACGTAAATTCAAATATATTTTTGCAGTCATGAAAGTCAGAAGCTTGCTTTAAAAGATCAAATGAAAGCTCACATTCTCCGAAAGCTGAACTTTGCACCCAGACTTAAAACCCTGCCCTTTTCCTGTACACCTGTGAAATCGAAAAACACACACAGCACCTTTCATCGTTTCCATGTCCACAAACAGCTTGCACTGATATTCTTTCCAGGTCAAGAAAGTACCCAGGTGGGATGGAGGTTTGAGCTTCTGCTACAAGAATTGTGATTTTGATGCATGTTAAACCACTCTCCCTCAGTGTCCCACTTTCCTCCTAAATCTACCAATAAGAAAGAGAGAGAAAGAGGAGAGTTCAACATTGATTCCTTAAGCTTCCACAAGTCATATACTACACTGGGACTTAGCCCAATTTGATGCCGTTTGCTTCTATTTTAAACTAGAGCCCAGTCTTTCCCTTGCAATCCTGCCCTGCCTCCCTCCATGAATTCTGAGGGAAGATCGGTCAGCGGAAACTCAAAAAAGCTGCTTACTAAAAAGTACAAAAGGGTATTTTTAGCTCCCGAGTCCAAAAGGTGGGAACCTCGGTCCACGCTGCAACGACGGTGACCCTTCCCAGGGAATGTCAAGCTTAAACAGGACTTTTTCAAGATTCCTTCGGTCCCAAATGGCAGTCTGGAGAGATCGCTGCCAAGACAAGAAGGAGAAGCAGCTGTGCTCCTCCAGCACCGGGTCACTGCTCTGCCAGCCACCACCATCTCCGAAGCGCGTCCCTGTAGATTTCCCTATGACCTCGGTCCTCCGCAGGCACTGAGAGAGTTCACCCAGTGGGAAACGGCAGCCTTCCCTGCTCTCTTTTGCACGGTGAGTGAGGCAACTGAGCCACGAACTAGGGAAGGGTCGCCAGCTCAGCGGACAAACAACTGCTTTACATTCAGGCTTCATCTCTCACGTCTCCAGGTGGGCTAGAGAAAAACTCCTACCTGCAACCCCAGAGAGCATTACTGAGCTAGAGGAACTAATGGTCTGACCTGGCACAGAGCAGCTTCCTACGTTCCTTTTTGAGGGAAGGAAGCTTAATAACGAAGGATGCTCAAAGAGGCTCCTGTAATTTTTACCATCACTGAATCCAACTGCTATCAAGCCAACTGCCTCTTGAGAAAACTGTGGTTGTGTGTTTGTGTATATATTATTTGCACTGTCCAGACTCTTTATATTCAAAATAACTTTACTTTCATAAACATGTAACTGAGAAGAACATATCTACGATCTCATGCTTATTCATTTTGTTCTGAATAGAGAGCACAGGTTTATCCCTATTAACATTTAGGGATTTTGCTCTGCCTGCTTCACCCCAGACAGACCACACTGACAAACACCATCCTCAGCAGCGTCCAGAGAAACCTCTCTCAGCAGCCGTTCTCCCTCTGAGAGAGAGAGAGAGAGAAGGCAACAAAAACAGCTAAAAACGACAGTTACTGGAATAACAGTCACAACAGAATGGAATGCCTCTCTCATGTGACTCACTGCCAATCACATGGAAGAGCTACTGTCAAAGGGGAAACCCTTTGCTAAAAAATACACAGCAATTCAAAATAAGCAACATTCCCATTTCAGGAAATTAAACCATTATCCTTAACAAACTGCACCAGCACCACCAGCCTTGTCCTCCAGGCCAGATGTTGTTTCTGCTCCTGGATACAGTAGGGGCCACAGGCTGTTCTGGAGAGGACTCCCCATTTACCCACCACAACCAACATCAAGAACCTTGAGTAGGCATCTGTGGAGGGTGGGAAAGCCAGATCTTACACCAGGGAAGATGGAACCTTTTCCAGCTCACAGGCAACATTCCCTTCATAAGTAAAACCTTCCAGGGGTGGGTCACATTTCAGAGCTGAAGCAAGGAATGGGATTCTTAAGAACATAAATGAGCCCTTCTAGCTCAGGCCAAAAGTACAGCTAGATCCAACATCCTCTTCTCAACAGTCCTCCACCAGATGCCTATAGGGAGCTTGAAAGCAGGATGTGAGGGGAACAGTGCTGTCCCCATGTGCAATTCCCAACAACTGTTTCTCGGAGGAACGCACCCGTGATGGTTGAGGTAAAACATAACCATTGCAGCTACTAGCCATTAGTAGATTGTATACCAGCCGCACAGAAGCCAAGTAGTTTCCACAGACGTACACACGGCACCAAACAGGCAGGCAAAAGGCATCATTGCAGCTCAAGACACACCGCAGCCATGCAAAAAGTTAGAAGGGCCCAGTTCCTTTTTTTACTTTTCACCCTGGGAAGCAGTGGTGGACCTTGGCGTCTCAAATTCCAGTGCCTGCCTCTGCCTCTCACCTTCCATTCTACAACACACCTGCAGCACCCTTGAGGCTCTGCATTCAGTGCAACGGAACAGCTCATGCACCATTCAATCCACCTCTGATGAAATGTGGTAGACTTCCCTCGATTGCAGGTTCTTAAACAGAGGTTGGGTGGCCCTCTGCTATGATTCCTGCATTGCAGGACTGGATTCCCCTTGGGATCCCTCCCAACTCTCCAAGTCTACAAATCCCCAGCAGCGAACTCATGGAGAGGCTCTCACACATTAGGAAATTGTCCTGTGTATGTGTGTGGCAGTTGCTCTGGGATCCCGGATGATTCGCGTCCCAATGCATTCATTTGTTGTTGCACCCCAATAGCAATGTTGGAAGATGCCTTATAGGCCATGAGTCCATCTAGCTCAGGGTCTCTGCCTGTTTTTGGACTACAGCTCCCATCTTCCCTGACCACTGGTTCTGCTAGCTAGGTGCTGATGGGAGCTGTAGTCAAAAAACAACTGGAGACGCAAGTTTGGGAAACACTGGTTTAGAGAAAAGGTGAATAATAAGAGGTGATAGAGGTGTCTTTCATAACACTAGAACTTGAGGACATGCAATGAAGCTGAATGTTGGAAGATTCAGAACGGGCGAAATAAAGTCCTTCTTTGCTCTGCAAACTATGGAATTCTCTCCAGAAGAGGCTAGTGATGGCCAACAACTTCATTGACTTTGAAAGACAATCAGACAAATTCATGGAGGAGAAGGTCATCAACGACTGCTAACCACAATGAGTATATTCTACATCCAGAGGTAGAGTATTATACCTATCATATACTGAATCAGACCACTGGGCCATCAAACTGAGCATTGTCTGCACTTACTGGCAGCGTCTCTCCAGGGTTCCAGGCAGAGGTGTCTCCCTGGCTCATGTGGAGATGCCAGAATTTGCAGCTGGGACATTTGCAGGCAATGCATGGTCTCTGCCACTGTGCTGAGGCCCTTCCTGGGAACTGAACAGGTCCGTGACCTTTGCCACAAGTGAGGAAATAGAGCTGTTGCCAGCATCTGTGGCTTTTTTGAATTGATTCATTCATATATATATATATATATATATATATATATATATATATATATGACCAGTTGTTGGGAATCACAAGTGGGGAGAATGCTGTTGACCTCAGGTTTAACTTGTGCGCTTCCTGTGGATAACTCGTTGCCCACTGTGAGAACAGAATGATGAATTAAATGGGTATCTCCCAAAGTTTGGGAAACCCTGATCTGGCTCCACAATGTGGGTGCTGCCTGGCAGTGGCCCTCCAAGGTTTTTGGCAGGGCTTTCTCCCGGCCCTACCTACAGATGCTGGAGATCAGACCTTCTGCACGCAAACCGAGGCACAAACCCAATGACCCTCAAATGTGCTCCGTTCAGGACTAGCTGCTCTAAGGTACCTAGCAGCAGTTCTGCACGTGCACCGTCTTCCAGTTCGCTAAGAAACGGGAAGACTCTTAAATGCCTTCGGAGTCTCGTGGCGGTGGCTGCTTTACTTAGTATCTTCAAAGCTTTGTGACCTAGAAAGGAGATGTACTGCATGAATGAGACTCACGGAGTCTGGGGAGCGCAAAGCGTCACTGTGCTATTTATACCTATAGGCGGAGGGGAAAAGTGGAGAGGGTAATATCTTTATACTCCATTTAACAGAAGCCTCATATTTGTTCCATGCAAGGCTAAGAGGGATTATCATCTTGTGTGTGTGTGTGTGTGTGTGTGTGTGCGCGCGCGCGCGCACGCACACACGCACACAGTACAAAGACACCACAGATGCTGGCCACAGCTCTATTTCCTCACTTGTGGCAAAGGTCACGGACCTGTTTAGTTCCCAGGAAGGGTCTCAGTGCAGTGGCAGAGAAAATGCCTTGCCTACAAATGTCCCAGCTGCAAATTCTGGCATCTCCACAAAAGGAGACACCTCTGCCTGGAACCCTGGAGAGACACTGTCAGTAAGTGCAGACAATGCTCAGTTTGATGGCCCAGTGGTCTGATTCAGTAGAAGGCAGCTTCCCACACTCCAGCAACCAGAGAGGTGCCAAAATCAGTAGAGACTACTGTTGCCTGAACCAGAAGCCTTGATCGACCTTCCTACTGGCGACGGCCAATGGTCAGCCTGGGTGGGAAGAGCCATTCTGATACTGGCTCCAACCTGCAGGCATCTGGGCACTGAGCTGTGGGATGCCTGCTCCAGTCCTGGCACTACCTGAAAATAAGGTTGGCCACCAATGTGAGAACGTAACAGGAGCCATGTTGAGATCAGAGCAAATGCTCATTGAGTTCAGCATCCTGTTCTCATGGTGGCCAACAAGAAGCTAAATGCAACAGTGCTCTCCTCACCTGTAATTCCCAGCAACTGATATTATCCACGGTCACCCCTCCTTGGTGACACTGTGTTTCTAGCCCAGAGATGCCTCCACTGCCATCTTCTGTTCCACAGCATGTTCTCGAGCTCCGGCAGCCAACAGGAGAGGTTCCAACCTCTTCAGCCAGCTGAAGAATTCAAACATGCCCGCCTGCAATTTGGACCAATCGCAGGCGGGCTTGGAGGCGTGGCCACTGGAGTGGGCGGGCAGGCCTGAGGCAGGTTCCTGGGGAGTCTTCACTCGGGTCTTCTCGGGAACAAAAGCTGGCCCAGGCTTCATCCGAGACTGCGGTCAGCTTCAGATCTCCCTCGCCCATTCCCATAAACCATTTATGATGTTTATAATGTTCTGCTCTGTCATTATGCTGTATCTTGGTGGACGCTGCTATGGTTCTTACGGTCACCATATTCAGGCCAGGGAGTATTTCCCCCCCCCATCAGATGAATTGGGCCCGTCTGAGGGTTTCGCCTACCTCATATCAATCATGACAACTCTGGTGGATACGGCATTGGGTAAGCTCTTAGCCTTTGGTGAAAGGGAAAACCTTTGCTTCCATCTCCTTGGTGGTGAGGGAACCAAGTAAAGGGATCCATGGGGAGGTGCTTCTGTTCACATGGAGGCTGAGGGCCATAGCACCCCCTTGATATGGCAAGTCTGTGGGGGTTGCATTTATCTGATGTACATTGCAAGTCCGTTATCCCTCCAGCACATGGGCTGCAGGAGAGGGTGGCTACCCCAATGCTAAGCCAAACTCACTTACATCTAAATTAAAAAATTCCTTCCAGTAGCACCTTAGAGACCAACTAAGTTTGTTATTGGTATGAGCTACAAACTTAGTTGGTCTCTAAGGTGCTACTGGAAGGAATTTTTTTACTTTTGTTTCAACTACGGCAGACCAACACGGCTACCTACCTGTCACTTGTATCTGTAATCAATAAAGTTCTGGCCTGATTTTAACCCTACTAGATGTTGCCTGTGGTCCTCAGTTTCACCATTGTGGCCTGATAGGGGCGGGTCCACGGTGTCTGGGCATGTAAGCAGAGGCACATCAGCTTTGAGAGTGGAGGCAGAACATCGCCATCGCGAGAAGATTTCCTGAGCAGCCTTGTGGAATACTGCACTCGAGTATGATTCCTGCTACTGCAGGAAGAGAAGATGTTACTAAGTTTGAGGAAGAAAACAGATTATGGGAGATGGGGGGAATAAAACCCCAGAAGTCAAAACTCAAAACACGAAGCCCAAATAGCAAGATAATTCGCTTATTTATCGGAACATTAGTTCACACAGCTGTGACTCTGCTCTCCAGATCTTCTGCAGAAAACATGGGCAGGAAGAAGCCAGTCAAGGGACCCCGACGCACAAGCACACAGCCTACAACATGTTAAAGAGCCAAGGCAGCTCTTTTCCCCAGGAAAAAACACGGCCACATGCAAAACCAATTATCAGCATTGCCTTTCTGAGCCTCTGAATCTGAGTGGACACGGCCTCCAGATCCCCTTGTGTCGCGACTGTTTGCATGAGAACTCTTAAAATGCACCAGTACTTTGTCATGGTGAAAATAAAAAAAAAGGTGGGGGAGAGTGGAAAACATTTGTTTTCTGTATCAGTTGTCATCAGGAAAGCGTTTCTCCTGGTTTGTGGAACTGAAAATCTCATTGCTTGGTTTGGCTCCAGATATCTTTCCCCTTGTACTTAATACTGGCTTTCAAGCAGCAATTGCTTTTAATGGACCAGACTATTGCTACTTTAAAAAAAAAAAAAACCAGAATGGGGAAACAGAGGTATCTTGAAACTTGCAACCCTTGCTTTCAAGTGAACGCTTCCCTAGGCTAGCAGCTCTTTTCTGGGCCAATTTTGTTAATAATATTATTACTCTGTGTATTTATTTTTGTGTTATTATAAGGTGTGGCTGTATTTGGAGTTTTAAATTGTATTTTATTACCCTTCAGTCTTCGAAATTAGCCAGGCGCCAGGCACATTTTGCAACTGCTGCGGGTCCAATTGCAGCCACGTGGAGATGCCGGGTTGGCGACTGGCGAAAGCAAAATGTCACTTAGAGAAGGATCCGAAATATTTTTCCTTGAAGCTTGAATAAGTTTTATTCTGGATTGTTTTATTTTGTGTTTTAACGTGTTGCAAAGTGGTTTGAGATTTGTTCTTTAAAATATAGAGTGGTGTAGAAATGAACATAAAGTCATACCTTGGTTGTCAAACAGAATCTGTTCCAGAAGCCTGTTCAACACCCAAAAACATTCGACAGCCAAGGCACGGCTTCCGATTGGCTGCAGGAGCTTCCAAAGAATGGCTTCCAAAGAACGTTTGCAAACCAGAACACTCACTTCCGGGTTTGCGGCATTCAGGAGCCAAAAGGTTCGAGTTGCAAAGCGTTCGGGATCCAAGGTACGACTGTAACAACAACAACAACAGCAACATCCCATGGGGGACAGACAGCATGCATGACTTAGTGTGGACTACTTTATGTACAAACTGGTTGGACTTAACCTAACTCATGGAGCAGCTGTGAGGAAAATAATAGGAAGGTAAAGAGCCACAAGTCGGGATGCGGGTGGCGCTGTGGGTTAAACCACAGAACCTAGGACTTGCCGATCAGAAGGTCGGCAGTTCGAATCCCCATGACGGGGTGAGCTCCCGTTGCTCGGTCCCTGCTCCTGCCAAGCATGTCAAAGTGCAAGTAGATAAATAGGTACCACTCCGGCGGAAAGGTAAACGGTGTTTCCGTGCGCTGCTCTGATTCTCCAGAAGCGGCTTAGTCATGCTGGCCACATGACCCAGAAGCTGTACGCCGGCTCCCTCGGCCAGTAAAGCGAGATGACGCCGCAACCCCAAAATCGGTCATGACTGGACCTAATGGTCAGGGGTCCCCTTTACCTTTACCTTTAGAGAGCCACAAACATACCTTGAACTCCTTAGAAAACCACACATGCCACCTTGGGAAAGCCTGCAGCTCAGTGATAGAGCATGTGGTTTGCATGCGGAAGGTCCCATGTTCAATCCCAGCATCTCTAGGTAGGGCTGGGAAGCACTTCCTGTCTGAAACCCTGGAGAGTCACTACCAGTCAGTGTAGACAATATTGAGACAATATTCAGCAGACATTTTCAGCAGAGGGCCAGTCCACTGTCCCTCAGACCTTGTGAGGGGGCCAGACTATATTTTGGGGAAAGATGATGCAAGAGCACCACAAGCAACCACAAGTGGCTGCTTACCTGTGTCTTGCGAGCGGCAGGGGCTGGCGGTGGGACGCTGAGCAGTGCGTGAAAGGGCTCCAGAGAGGGGCTGCTGAAAATGGCGGCCGCTCAAGCGCTACTGCTGGCACCAACAAAGCCCAGCCCCCTTCCTCCTCTAGGCAGGTCAGGGAGAAGCCAGGAGGAGGGAGGGAGGAGGCGCTGGTGCCACCGTGTGAGGGAGAGGGAAAGAACGTGCGTGCTGGTGATCCACATGGTGATTCCCAGACCATCCGGGGGCCAGATCCAGAAGGCAATTGGGCCTGATCCAGCCCACGGGCCCTAGTTTGCCTACTCATGAGCTAGATGATCTGACTCAGTGCAAGTCAACCTCCTATGTGGGATCTCAATGTAGTAATTAATTCAATAAGCACCATGATTGCAGGGTCCTGCTTCTTTTGGCGTGACTCTCTGGTTTTGTGGGATTTTACAACACTAGAACAACAACACTGGGAACAAATGGCCTCTGTCCAGAAGGAAGTCTCACAATTAAAACCTTATTTCATTGTTTTGCCGAACAGTAACTTTCATCAATAAGTACCAGCTCTGACGCATCTACTCACAAATTGCTTTCCCAATCGAAAGAACTACACCAAGTAGCTACCCCCATCTAAAAAAGAGGGGAGGGACACTCCTTAACAATATACCTCAGCACAGCTAAAATACTCCATTAAAAATATCTGAACACCAATTAAAATAGGAACACAAGAACCTCAGCTTTGCTATTCATTAAGAAAACTAATCCAACTTCACATGAGCACCAGGGAACAAAGCTGAGTCCAGGATCTAGCTCTACACAGACTACACCTGAGAAAGCTAACACAGTATCCTATAGCTTTGTTGAACTTCAGCTCCCATCATCTCTGGCTATGCTAAGACTAATGGGAGTTGGGGTCTGACAATGTCTAAAGCTGGGTCTACCCCAGCTTACCCCAACCTGGTGCCCCCTCCAGATTTGGGGGGGGGGGGATTGCAACTCTTATCAGCCCCAGCCAACGTGTCAGGGAAGATGGGATCTATAGGTCAACAACATCTGCATGCTACCAGGCTGTGGTCTATACAGTGCTGTCACAGGTGATCTATGGGTTCCAATAATTTCTTTCCTGAATTGGATGGGGTTTAATCCAGGATCTTGCGAGTTCCCCATTCCCCCGCCAGCATGATACAAAGCTGTCTCACTGAAGTACAGCAATACTCTATTCAGACAGTGGGACTTCCTCTGTGATTTCTAGGACAGTAGGGGGAAACTCAAAATACTACATGCTCAGACTATGGAAGGGGGGGGGAGAATTGGTTCAGTTTGCCTTTAAATGTGAATATAAAATCCACTTTCCCAAAAAACTTGAGAATCTAGACATGGCCATCTTTCAAAATCCAGACTTACCCGAATCTTGTGATGGAGTTCTCCAAACAATAAATGTTTACAGAAGTGCATCTATTAAATTAGCACATAAAAATTAGCAGAACTAGTGAAAATAACATACAAAATACATTGTGTTAGGAAAAATGGACTGCAAAACATGTGTACATTTGTGAAAACTACATTAAAAATTGGATAATTTTGCACTCAAATGCTGGTGAATTTTCACGAAGATTTTATAAGAAAAAAGAACAAGTAATTCATAAAATGTATCAGGAATCTGGAGAATAGAATAAAAGGCTGGAAGGAAGAAATAACTGGGAAAGCAAAATTTAACAGATCCTTCCATCTCTAGAGTCTGGACATATCCTGGCTTACTCTGCTGCTCATATTATTATTTTTATTAATCCCATGGCATGCCCAGATAGTTCATTTTTAACAAATAGCAACCATAGCTTTTCGATGCAAGGCTAGAAGGTCTGGTACCATGGGTACAGCGAATCTGCAGTTCTTCCTACCATGGAAGCCCGTGGTCCTCTGGGACACTGTTTGCAAGCCAGGTACTCTAGGAAGCAAGCCTAGCCCGGCTGGCCTCCCGTGCCGTCATTTGCATCTCCAAGCAGAGCAGCATTAAACAAAAAGAGAACCATCAGAGTGGCACTCATCTTATGAAACGGAAACAGCAGAATGTGGCAATCCTGCTCTGTTACTAAGAGAGTTTATGAGGAACGCTGAAAAATTCTCAAGGAACTTACTGAGCCCCATGTAATAATTAACCAAGCGGTATCTTTATTGCTCAGAAAGAAACAAGGCTTCAAATCTGAGTTTATTTTAAAAATATTAACAGCCCCAACCTTAAGCCAAACACACAGTTTTCCAATCCAGCTCGTTATGTTTTATTCTCGGTTTCCATTACGTAGTAAATGCCATTCTTCCCAGCTCCACTTTCCATCTACCTTCAACATTTGTTTGTCCCAATCTAGCAGGAATACGCAACTCCTGTGCTTTCTGGAAGAAATGTTTCTGGGAGAAAGTAAGGAAGGCCTCATCCTCTCTCTTTTTTTGAACCTAAAACCCTACATCACAGAGGGAGAACTGGGACTTTGCATCATGAATAGTACATGAAGCCCTCAGAGATTACCAACGGTTAATAATAATAATAATAATAATTTATTTTAAATGGTTGGTAAACTCTGAGGGTTTCATGCGCTATTCATGATGCAGAGTCTGGAGACAAGCAGTAAAACCATGGCCATCACAACGATGTCCATTCTAGGGGTGCCTGGCTGGTCTCTGCCGAAGAAAATATGCTATACAAGAAACATACGTGATCTGACTTCCGCCCTTACACTCTGTAAATGTTCGAACCTGAATAACCACCAACAGATCTAAAAACTAGAACATGAGAAACACAGACCCTCCAAGTATCCTTATTTTCCAGAGACAGTCCTGGATTTACAGAAGCCATTCCAGTTTCTAATTTGATCCTGGAATGTCCCACTTTTCCTTAGGACATCCCTGTTTTCATCGGAGGAATGTTGGAGGGTATAGAGTTATGCAACCCTTGAGCCAAGGAGATAAGTAACAATACAACCTTTGGTAACTGAAGAAGTGTGCATGCACACGAAAGCTCATACCAATAACAAATTTATTTGGTTTCTAAGGTGCTACTGGAAGGAATTTTTCTATTTTGTTTCAATTACAGCAGATCAACATGGCTACCTGCCTGTATATACAACCTTTAGACTGCCAAGAAGGGGATATGGAGACCCTCCCCTTACAAGTACAGATGTACGGTCATTAAGGCAGATGTTTAAGAGTGCTAGTTAACCTCTTTTCCCATATGGACATGGGCTCAGTCCATATTTTCCACAAGTCTATGTATTAGTCCCATGCCCCTCACGCAAAGCTTTGCAACTAACACCAAAAAATACAAAAGATAAGGCAAAGATCCATAAGGTCTAGAGCCCGGAAGTGCTGGGCTTCAGATTAAGAAAAAATAAATAGACACTCCTTGTTGAGGTTAAAAGGTAAGATACAAAATTCAAAGTACATAAATAAATCAGAATTGCCACCTTCCTTATAAAGAAAAGCACTTCTTGCCAAGGCAGCAATATGTCATTTGCCAGTGAGTGAATTATGGAGGGAGGGGTAGGGAAGTCTTCCACAAGCCTCACCCCATGCTGTACTATCAAAGTTTTGATCCAAAATATGTCCCCTGTAACCTTCTAACAAGCAGCAGCTAACAGGGCTCTCAGCATCCCCAGTGATCTTCATCAAGATCTTCCTAACCATCCACAGCAGCAGCTAATTCTCTGTACTGAAAACCATCAAGTTCAGAGCCCCTCCAGAGTAGAAGAAGATTAGGCAAGTTTGCACCTGTAAAACTCTCGGTACTTAAAATCCCCATGCAAAGATGACTGCTATTATGATTACTAATGTTTACACTGCTGTCAGACTACAATGGATGGATGCTGGAGGCAAGGAAGAGAGTTGAGTCAGGGTTCTCTGCATGCAGAAATTCAACAGGGGAAGGTTTTGTTGCTGTTTTTTAAGGGTGAGAGGTGCACTTACAAGGAAGTCTTCCCTTGTTAAATTGCTCTCTGTCATCCAGCAACAGGAACACTGCCAGAAGAGAAATGTGTCAACCTTAGAGATAAGCCCTTATCTCCAAGGGGAAGGAAGGGCAGCAATTCAGTGGGAGTACATGCACTCTGCATGCATTGGGTCCCAGGTCCAAACCCCTGGCATCTCCAGCTGGGGGCTCGGAAAGACCCCTGGCTAAAACCCCAGAGGGCCTTAGCCGATCAATGCAGACACTGATGAACTAGGTGAGCCAATGGTCCAACTAGGAATAAAGGCTGCTTCCAACGTTGAGAGCATGTGCATTATTTTGGCAAGTCCCTCCTCCCCACCTGAACTTTGCCACTCAGTATCTAATCCTTCTATATCCCTACTTCCTCACGGAGACAATTCCTACAGCACCCACATTCTTCCTAGAGGCAATTCACCCACACCAAAGTTGCCGTTTGCACAAGCTTCTATGGCCAGTATTGTTACCATGCTCTGAAAACCTGACCTGCCACTGGGAGAGGTTCAGTTGGTGCATTTGCACCTCCAGGTCTGTCATGGGCCATGGGGAGGAGGAAGAGGATCCCCACGAGGGGTTTAGCCAGGACTGGGACACACAGGGGCAAGCTGGGGATGGGGAAGGAGAGGTTGGCGTAGGAAGTACTCATGGGGTGACGAAGGATGATAGGAGGATGGGGGTCAGTGCACAGGAACCAGTATAGCAGGGCCCATCGCCAGAGGGGTCCCTGTCTCCATGATCATGGTGGGCTCTGAGGCATAGGGAGCAGCAGATGAGGTGCTCCAGGAGGCTGAGGCAGGCAAGGGCCCACAGCCCAGCTCCCTAGCTGGCCAGGTGGAACTCACTAGTTCTGGGAGGAGGGCTTTGATTCCTCAGCTGGAGTAGGCTTGGAACAGGTGAGGGTCACCTGCCTCATCAAGCCCAGATGCTGCAATCGGCAGGCAAAGTCTAAAAGGACAGCAGAGCTGAGGTGCTGTGTCTGTTCAACTGCCCATGTTGATGGACCTCAGTTTGGATGCTCCAGAAACTCTGTAGGACTGTGCTTTGGTTTTGACTTCGGACACATGGATTGACCCTGGACTGGGGACTTGACATACTGACTTGCCACCAGATTGGCCAGGGGTTCAGGACAAGGTCGCTGCTGTACTCACCTGCAGGATATGGACCTTCACAAAGCAGAGCAGCTCTCCCAACCACTCCCTGATTGGCAAAGCCCGGATGACCTCACAGAAGTGCAGCCTGCTCAGCGTATCACCAGAAGTCACGTTCCTGGTGTTGCCACCCACTTCAGGGGGGAAACTACTTCCCTTTGACTCTTGCATGCTTTTATCTCTTTCAAACCTTCCTCAGCGCTCGTCTCCCAGCAGGCCTTGTTTCAATATTATTTCCAATGGCTCGTTTCCATTGTCCTGAAGTACACATTCCCTCGATCCACAGCAAGGTATGCCTTTCTTGGGAGCAGCTTTCTCTCTATTGTGCTGTGAGCCCAGGAATGGGCTTTTTCTCGGGCAAGATCACTAAACTCCTGTCTATGTGCTTCAGCTGTGAGAACAGCAGGAGACACCTGAGGTGAAAACCTTAAAGGCTCTGGCCTTTGGAGAACCTGAAAACATACACACCGCCACTCCCACCACCGATTCAGAACTATTCTCCCAATCCGAGTCAGTAGACGTTCGCCCGGGACAACTGTGGCAACGCAAGAAGTGGGAGGGTATTTATACAGATCGGACTTTTATCAGCAAAATGGTCGGCCTTGGAGAGATATTTCACAGGCTCAGTCCGTAAATCACAACCGCCTGGGATTGCTTCCCACAGCAGGTTATAAAGGTGTTTCAGCGACCCACCTCCCTTCCACAGCAACATTTGTTGACCTACCTTCCAACAGAAAAAAAGAGAGAGGGAGAGATCGGTCACCCCACAATCTCTTCTGCAGTTGACATAACTTCAATAGGAAGGCCATAAAATAGGCCCGCAGAGAGATAAGATAAGGCTCCCATGCAAACCAGGATGTTTTAAAACATATTGTTCTCTCCTCTTAAGCCAGGGCACTAAATAAATGAAGTGTCTGTTGATATTCTGCTATCAGGCGCTGATTTTCCCCGCCATATAAACATTCCTCTGGGTGTTGTGTAAGCTCCCAAGCTTCTTCCCGGGCAGGGGCTCTCCTTCATTTGCACTTGAAAGGGAACCAGCCTCTGGAGTTTAATCCCATCTCTGTGGGTTGGCTTCATGTAAATAAATAAATAAAGCGACAAAGGATGTGGTGTGCATTTCTTTGTTCAGTGGTCCAGAAAGATCCTTTGGCTTCTGAGCCAGGCAGGCAACAAGAACGGAATGTCGATGGCAGAGGTTCAAGGCCAAGTATCCCAACTTACTTATCGGTGCCACCACAGCCTCTCATCTCAGGGAACAAATGTCATCAAGAAACGTCTCTGAATCTGGCCCTCCGGCACTTTCTCCAGGCCACACACCCCTCACCAGTTCTGCTTCATGCCTTCCTTGAGTGCTTTCTGCCTGGCTGGATGTGTCGTTGAACTTTTGCCACTGGCCCCACCCAACAATGCCAGGCGATACCCAGAAGGTTGCGCTGGGAAGTGAGATGGCTGGGAAAAGGTTCCTCAATCCTGCATTGCACCCAAGGCTGCTTAAAAACAAACTTCTGCTAGTGCAACTGATGAGTTGGCTTCATATTGCTCAACCACAGACCCTCCAAGTGTCTCTATTTTCCAGGGACAGCCCCGGATTTAAAGAAGCCTTCCCAGTTTCTGATTTGATCCTGCTTTTCCTTAGGATGTCCCTGTTTTCATCAGAGTAATGTTGGAGGGTATGGAGTTGTGGAACCCCAAAGCCAAGGATATAAGTAACTATACATCCTTTAGAAGACATCTGAAAGCAACCCTGTATTAAGTTTTTTAACGTTTAATGTTTTATTATGTTTTTATATATAATCTTCTCATGAGAAGTGAAGACTCCCTGGAAAAGACCCTGATGTTGGGAAAGATGGAGGGCACAAGGAGAAGGGGACGACAGAGGACGAGATGGTTGGATAGTGTCTTCGAAGCTACAAACATGAGTCTGACCAAACTGCGGGAGGCAGTGGAAGACAGGAGTGCCTGGCGTGCTCTGGTCCATGGGGTCATGAAGAGTCGGACACGACTAAACGACTAAACAACAACAACAAATGTTTATATATATATTGGAAGCTGCCCAGAGTGTCTGGGACAACCCAGTCAGATGGCTAGGGTATTATTATTATTATTATTATTATTATTATTATTATTATTAGGCATCCCTATTTTCACTGGAGAATTGTTGGGAGGGCATGCAACCATAATTCCCACTCTACACTAGCACAACAGCTCTTTTGCTGGCAGTCAGGGAATGTTAATTCTGGGTCTGGGATTTGAATTCCTGCTCATCTGTGAACCTCACTGGGTGACCTGGGGCCACTGACAGCTTCTCAGGCTAACCTACATCACAGGGTTGCCTTGAGGATAAAAGTGGGAGAGGCAAAAGCATAAGTTGTAGTCAACTCATGTTGACTCAGAGTCAACCCATTGAAATTACTGGCCATTCATTTCAGTGCCGGTCCACTGTGAGTCAACATGGCTTTGAATACATCCTCCACGAATACCACCTTGAGCTCCTTCATTGTTTAGTGAAATAAATAACCAAATGTTAAGAACGTAGGATTTTGCCCATCTCGTCCAACATCCTGTTCTCACAGTGGCCAACCACTTTGGGAAACTTGCAAGCAGAATTCGAACACAAAAGCACTCACCCCACCTGTAGTTTCCAGAAACTGGCATTCAGAAGCATTGCAGTCTCTTAACTTTTGAGGGCAGAGCCTAGCACCATGGCTAGTAGCCATCAATGGCCTTCTCCTCCATGAAGGCCTTGTCACAGAATAGGCAAGACACATCAAAGCACTTTTATAGGGTGGCAACTGGTTTTTTCATGGCTTAGCTGGAGTTTAAACTGGAAGGAACACACAAGGTCCTGGAGGATCAAGGAAACCCATGAATGGCATCAAGTGACTTGACACCATGTGCAAGTTTGATCTCAGGGTTTTTGGATAGAGCTCCACATTGGGCAAAAAGGATTCCTGCATTACAAGGGGACTAGATGATGTTTGCGGTCCCTTCCAACTCTACAACTCTATGTTTCTGCAGAGAAAGCCGCTGTTAAGCCACTGCCCCATTCCCATTTTGTATTCTAAGCACACACCAAAAAAAACAGCCATGAAAACTTCAGCCTTTCCTTAAAAACAACAACAAACAAACAGAGTATTAGGAGCTGGGATGGAAAAAGAAGAGACACTCTCACAGCAAAAGGTCAGAACAGGCATTTAGAAAACACCCTCCCCCCCCCCTTCTGCTTTTCATGGAAGAAATACAACAAGGGATGAAACCTGAATCTCTCAGTTTTGTCAGCAAGGCTGCAATCCCATGCCTGCTTACCTCGCAGCAAGTCTCACAGGAGTAAATGGGGCTTACTTCTGAGTAAACATGCTGCACTGCATGATATAAACTGGTTGCGCATTACCGTTTACTCTGGCTCCAGTACGCTTCCTCGGACGGCTTCTGAATCAGTGTACACACAGCATGACCTATCATGCAGTTAAGCTGAG